CCTAAATAGGATTTAATGCATTTAATTTTTGCATTTTGTACATGATATCATCACAACATTTGTTCAAAATGTCTTCCTCCAACCTGAATACACCGATTTAAATGTCGCACATGATACGTTACCCTGATTTCCTGTGTTGCCCTTTTATAGCTCCTTATATTACCCATATTATAAATAGTTGTATTAAGAGGTCTTATTTTCCTAAAAGCTGGAAGCTGGCCAATGTTCTTCCATTAGCAAACTTTAAGAATCCGACAGAATTTGGTCAACTACGTTCAATCTCGCTTTTACCGACCCTTTCTAAACTTTTGGAAAAGGCAATCGCTATACAAGTTGCTAACTACGTTTTTGCCATCAATATCATCCTCCCTAGACAGTCAGGGTTTAGAACCGGGTACAGTTGTTCCACAGCATTAACAGATCTTGTGGATGATGTCATCAGAGAACAGGATGCGGGAAATGCTACTGTCTTGGTGTTATTGGACTACACGAAAGCATTTGACAAGATTAATCATGAGATACTAGTGGCTATTTTGAAATATATTGGATTAAATTCTTTTTTATCTGAAAGGATGCAGCGCGTGACTTTGGACGGGAACATATCATATGCAGTTACAATTACATCAGGGGTGCCCCAGGGCAGTATTTTGGGTCCATTATTGTATAGCCTATATACTTTTAATTTCATGAAGTCGCTGAGTTATTGTCAATATCATCTTTATGCTGACGACACTCAAATTTATGCCTCTCTTAAACCTGATCTGTCAGAACAAACCGACTGAATACCGACTTGAATAGCCTTCTCAAAACTTCTGAAGATCACTTGTTAAAGATACACCCTAGTAAATCGACGGCTATATTGTTTTGTAGTGATTCCTACAGAAACGTATTAGAAGATAATATCAAGCTCAAACTAGGGGACAATATAATATCATTTAGGGATTCCTTGAAGGATTTGGACTTAGTGGTTGACTCTAAACTTAAGTTTAGAGAGCACATTACTCTGTGCCTAAGAAAAGCATATTCAATGTTAAAAATAATTTACCCCCATAGACATTACCTATCACAAAATACTAAAGCCGCGCCCTGCGAAGCTTTAGTGTTGTTCCAGTTCAACTTTTCTGATATGGTATATGGCCCATTTCTTGATAGTGTGGAACTGAAACGGGTTCAAAAAGCTCAGAATTCTTGTCTGAGACTGATATTTGGCATAAGGGGTAGACAAAGAGTATCCCACAAACTACCTGAAATGGGATGGTTGAATATGGCTCAGAGGCGTACCTTACAAGATTATAAAATATACTAACTGACATATAAATCCGAACACCCAGTTTAAATGGTTTTATTTTAATAAAATTTTGTATAAGTACTTAATGAAGCATAATAAGTAAATGATAAAAATTTCAAAATGATTGCACTGCTTTAAAGCCCTTTGACCTTTAATAATGTGTGGATGCACCCTGATGTGCTACGCATTCTCCAACGCGCCTATGCATGCTTCTGATCAGGTGGTCAATGTCCTCCTGTGGTATCTCACTCCAGGCAACCACCAACTCCTCTCCCCATCATATCCCACACGTGCTCAATTTGGGATAAGTCGGGAGATTGGTGGCCATGGTAACAATGTGACATTATTATGTTGAAAGAAGTCTATTGTGACTCTTGCAACATGTGGTCGGGCATTATCTTGTTGGAAAGTTGGATCTGCCAGGGTGTCAAGATAGGGTAAAAGATGGGATTCTAGAACTTCGTGGATATAACGCTGCGCGTTCATGTTACCTCTGATGAAGATTAAAGGTGACCTGGAACCATAAGCTATAGCACCCCAAACCATAACTCCAACAGTGTGATGAATATGTCTTTCAACAAAAAACTGTGGATTCCTCCTTTCACCACGTCGCCTTCTAACCCTGGCACGACCATCGTGCATGCCTAAACAAAATCGAGACTCGTCACTAAAGACAATACTGTTCCATTCCTGATCCCAGAGTGACCGTTGTCTGCACCACTCAAGGCGATTACGTTGGTGTAAGGGTTAGAAGGCGACGTGGTGAAAGGAGGAATCCACAGTTTTTTGTTGAAAGACATGTTCATCACACTGTTGGAGTTATGGTTTGGGGTGCTATAGCTTATGGTTCCAGGTCACCTTTAATCTTCATCAGAGGTAACATGAACGCGCAGCGTTATATCCACGAAGTTCTAGAACCCCATCTTTTACCCTATCTTGACACCCTGGCAGATCCAACTTTCCAACAAGATAATGCTCGACCACATGTTGCAAGAGTCACAATAGACTTCTTTCAACATAATGATGTCACATTGTTACCATGGCTACCAAGATCTCCCGACTTATCCCCAATTGAGCACGTGTGGGATATGATGGGTAGGAGATTGCTCAATTTGCAACGTCCTCCTCAGACTCTAGAAGCACTTCGAGAGGAGTTGGTGGTTGCCTGGAGTGAGATAGCACAGGAGGACATTGACCACCTGATCAGAAGCATGCATAGGCGCGTTGGAGAATGCGTAGCACATCAGGGTGCATCCACACATTATTAAAGGTCAAAGGGCTTTAAAGCAGTGCAATCATTTTCAAATTTTTATCATTTACTTATTATGCTTCATTAAGTACTTATACAAAATTTTATTAAAATAAAACTATTTAAACTGGGTGTTCGGATTTATATGTCACTTAGTATATAAAAGCCCTCCTTATCTTCACTCAAAAATTAGTTGCCGGACTGATGCACATAATATAAACATTAGAAGATTGAATTTGATTACAATACCATCACACAATAATGGATAATTTAAAAAATCATTCTCATATCAAATTGCCTTCTCTTTCCTCTCGCTTTCTCTTCTCACTCTAAATTTCCATTTCTCTACTTACTATACTTCGCTATATTTCTTAAGATTAAAACATTATTAATTATCAATGTCTTAATAGCCATTTGTCTTACTATAGAATTGTCTAAATTTGTATGTTTTTTTTTTGGCTCTAGCAGCTGCTTCTTTAAGGGGCAAGCTGATGTATTCCTTTATCCGCTTAAGGCCTTTTTTTTGTAAACTTTGTATATAATGTTTAATGAGGGTAATTATTATTATTATTATTATTATTATCATTATTATTATTATTATTATTTCGGCGGACGACTAAACATTTTATACTCGTTTTGAATGATTTCAAATGCTGCTGTAATTCGTCCAATTTAGTCTTGCTCTGTGTCTACTTGAGTTTCGTAAACCAAAGACTTTACATGTCCCCACAGGAAAAAAATTAGCGACGTTAAATCGGGTGACCTAGGAGGCCAAGAAATTGCTTCACCTCTGGCAATCCAATGGTGCCCAAACCGCTGAGCCAAATACTCACGTACTTGTACAGCAAGGTGAACTGGCGCTCCATCATGCTGAAACCACATTTGCTGTCGAACGTTCAATGGAACATTTTCAAGAAGTTCTGGAAGAACTTCCTTCAAGAAACGCCGGTAAATAGGTCCTGTTAACCGTTCCGGTGGAAGGTATGACCCAATCAAATAATCATCAACAATGCCTGCCCATACGTTGCTGATGTTTTCTAGGAAAAATTGCATGGGATTTTTTTTTGTCCCAAAGTGGCTATTCCTACTATTAAAAATACCGTCTCTTGTGAAAGAGGCTTCATCGGTCCATAAAACATAACGAAAAAAATTTGGTTGTGCAGCGATTTGATGAAGAAGCCATTGACAAAATTGAACTCTAGGATGATAATCGGCTGCAGTCAAACCTTGAACTTTCTGGAAGTGGTAAGGATAAAGTTGTTACTCGTGTAGCACCCGCCAGATGGAAGCGTTGCTGGTATTCATATCCTCAGCAATGTGACGTGTGCTACTTCATGGTTCATCGGCAACTCGCTGTAGGACCTCTTCTTCAAATTCGACCGTTCTTACGGTTCGAACAACACCGGTATCATGCATGTTGATTTTAAACATGCCTGTCTCGGAGAGCCGCCGATGAATAGCAATAAACTTTTTGTATCCCGGATGCTGTCGTTCAGGATAACGTTCTTGATACAACCGCGCTGCTGCTCGTGCATTGAATCTTGTTGCTCCGTATGCCAAATGCATATCCGCCAATTCTTGATTGGTAAAGTTTTCCATTAGCAACAATTAATTTTTGTTAAAGTCTTGCAAACTTCACAAATACGTTAGCACGACTAAGGCGATATGGAATGCAGCTACAAAAACAATCTCTGTTATCGTTTTTAAAGATAACAACACACAAGCGCCGGATATGGGTCCCTATACTCAAATGTTTGCTACTGTTACACTGAATAACCCCTACAAGTTTGATCCCATAGTTCTGTATATTATATTGCACGCTTCACTCTTGTACACATTACGACGTCAGCGAAATTTGAACCTCACCGTATATAGATAAAAACGCGCCCACCTGTGCATATCGCGTCACCGGACGGTTCGCTACTTCCATTTTTGTCCTTGGGATACAACTACCAAATATGCAATATCTACAATCACGAGGAGCGCGGCAAGTGCGACAGATCGGTACACGATCCATCTGCTGAAAATATTATTAAGGGCAATGTACGGGAAAATCTATGATGTGTGAAATACGAGATGTTTCATAGGCGCGTAGAAGTACGGGGGTTGGAAGTGTATTAGTACAGTAACATCAAAAACTATACCCCACCACCACCTCCAATTTTTTACCGTCAAAAAATTATTCAAAAATGAAGGGTCTCTTCAACGTCAAAAAATGCGATTTTTATTTTTCATTCTTTAGTATTTTTCTTCGCCGTCACTGAACCGACTTTCAAAATTACAAAGCTTTTTAGTCATTGGCATAGTAGTAAGCTTGCGTAAAAATTTCATCAAACTCCGACCAGTATTTTCCAGTTACGACTGACCGACAGACAGACCGACATGTACATATTACATCCATAAAACATATGTCATTTTTACAATACTTCATCGCCAGTAGACATTGGAAGCAAAAACACTCACGCCCCATCTTTGACAGTATAAGGTCCATAGCTTCCATCTCCATCACAAACAATGCTACCGATGTTGGGATATTTGACTCCATGTCGTTTTAGGGTTTCGGTGATCGTTGCCAAAGCATACGTAACACTATCACATTTTCTATAGTACTGATTTCCTGTTTGAGAAAATTCATCTGAAAATGAAAATAATGCATACTTATTATGTTGCTAAATGCCATTTAGTGAGAAGTGACTCATACAATATTTCATGTGATCTTTCAAAAGGATCCCTCATAATTTGAGTTACTCAACGCATTGAGCTTCACATTTATTCCCTCAAGATGTCTAACCACGCGCAAGGAGATGGCTACCTGCGGAATTGTAAAAATTGTGTCTAACAGTCTACAATGCAAAATGATTTTCCCTGGGCGATCCTGTATTTGGAGTAATTAAAGGGATGAACACGTTTCGACATAGCGAAAAAAAGGAAAATTAGGCAGACTGTTGAACGAAGTTGACGCCCGATGTATTTATATGCAGTCTGTACAATATTTTAACAGTTCTGGATGATTTGCTGGTTTCACTTAGGATAATGTGCACAACATGATACGTTTGAAAGGCAATAACTCTGAGAAAACACTTACAGCATGGTAACTTGATCATGGCTTTCATGGGGACCACGGGTGCAATCACTTTTCCACTTTTTGGTTCAGCGCACCAACATAACCCGCTATCGCACTGCAGCTTTTCATAATTTCCTAGACTATCGCAGTGAAAACTCACATAACTTCTGCCTTGTGCTAACAGAGCTGCCTTTCTGCTGCTGCAAGCTAAAACGCCAGGAGTGTGATAAGGTTATTACAAGTCAAGTAATCAACAAGGTGATGAAATTATGACAATTGTAGGACGCCTTTACGGCCTCCTTAATTTTCATGATATTTTCTCTCCTTCAGAAAGGCTGGGGTATTCTGGATTTCTACTGTTCCGTGTCAGCGTCAGCGCTCTCCTATTGTGAGGTTATGTTTTCTTTTTGAATTGTAAGAAATTTCGGGCTAATATAACTGACGATATAAATCAAAAGCATGAACAATTTGATGCAAATAGATATTTGTAACATAACCTTAAAATAAAGCGCTGACCAGTAGAAAACTATAAACGTCAAGGAGGTCATAAAGGCGTCCTACAATTGTAGGAACGATTGACGATACGGTCCTTTATGTCCTACTCAGATATTTTTCTGGTACAGCATCAGATATGTTGCAGTGAAATGTTTCTCTATCTACAACCTGTTGAAACAACGTATCTGTGGAAACATTTTGAAATGTTCCAAATATGTTATTCCTGGCACGTATACTGACGTATGTTTGGATCGTTGCAAACTAAATCGTGTAATCTCTCGTGTAAGGCCCCAAAATCTTATCACCTAGGTGATAACTAACAGGCATTGCTAATAAATTTATGAAAACATTTTTCTCTTAACTTCTACAAGCTATCCTATAGCTGATTAGTGTTTAGAGCCAGAAGATTACACGATTAAGTTCGCAATGATCCAAAACATGTCTGGATATGTTCCAGAAATAAGTTATTTGGAACATCCCGAAGTGTCGCAGCAAGTAACTTCTTTTAGTCAAATTTCTTCTGAAAGTAGTACAAACTAATCTGATGTACCTATTAAAGTCTACTTTAAGCTTTAAATCAATAAATCTTCAAAACTACTGAACTGAGGCTCATGTATTTTACATCATTATAAAGGGAATTGAAAGACCTTTAAAATAAGGTATCACTCGACCTCCCTTTCCATTTAAGATTTTAGGGTTGGTGTCAACCCCGCCCAGGGGGCTGCACGTGTTAACGTGATTTTTTGCCAAACTTGTATCCCCCTCGAAAACAAAATCGACGGGTCTAAGCGTTTTTCCAAAAAAAAAAAACTGAGCTACCAGTAAATGCGTCTGTGCCGTTTTCGATGCGCCACCCAATATATACTAAGTGACATATAAATCCGAACACCCAGTTTAAATGGTTTTATTTTAATAAAAGTTGGTGAATGTAATTTTCAGCCTTATCAGTTGGACATTCCGGTTTTTATACTGCTTTTTTTCAATTCACTAACGCTCTAAAAATGAATATTTCAGCCGCAGTAAAGAATCAACGTTGGCGGATTTTGGTTCTTGACATCCTTTACGATCGGTTACGATGCCTAGAGTACGGAGACCTGTACGATTTCGTCAACTTAGTGAGTTTGATAGGCGCCGTATAGTGGGACTTCGGGAAGCTGGACTTTCTTTTCGGGCAATTGCAGTTAGAGTGCAAAGAAGTGTAGACACTGTGGTTAGGTGTTGTCAGGCATGGCTTCGAGAAGGCCGTACGCAAAGAGCAAGGGGCACTGGACGCCGCCGTAGAACAACAGACCGTGAAGATCGTCGCCTAAGATTATTGGCTTTAAGGGACCGTTTCTCCACTACCAGGTCCATTGCAAATGAATGGTTTGCAGAACACGTAAGACCTATTGGCATGCGAAGTGTTTATCGACGAATGAGAAGTTTTGGCTTGTTTTCATACCGGCCACACTGGGTCCTCCCTTTAACTCGAGAACACCGACGTAATCGCCTTGAGTGGTGCAGACAACGGTCACTCTGGGATCAGGAATGGAACAGTATTGTCTTTAGTGACGAGTCTCGATTTTGTTTAGGCATGCACGATGGTCGTGCCAGGGTTAGAAGGCGACGTGGTGATAGGAGGAATCCACGAAGTTCTAGAACCCCATCTTTTACCCTATCTTGACACCCTGGCAGATCCAACTTTCCAACAAGATAATGCCCGACCACATGTTGCAATAGTCACAATAGACTTCTTTCAACATAATGATGTCACATTGTTACCATACCAAGATCTCCCGACTTATCCCCAATTGAGCACGTGTGGGATATGATGGGTAGGAGATTGTTCAATTTGCAACGTCCTCCTCAGACTCTAGAAGCACTTCGAGAGGAGTTGGTGGTTGCCAGGAGGACATTGACCACCTCATCAGAAGCATGCCTAGGCGCGTTGGAGAATGCGTAGCACATCAGGGTGCATCCACACATTATTAAAGGTCAAAGGGCTTTAAAGCAGTGCAATCATTTTGAAATTTTTATCATTTACTTATTATGCTTCAATAAGTACTTATACAAAATTTTATTAAAATAAAACCATTTAAACTGGGTGTTCGGATTTATATGTCACTTAGTATATGCTTTTCAACATTGCGCAAAAATAAGGGCGTCGCGTGCCGATGGCCCAGGTGAGGGGGGGGGGAGTCAAGTTGACCCGAAGAATCTATTGATTGCAGATAGAAAATAGCACATGAAATCTTACACGTGTAGTACGAGTCTTACCTCTTTGGCGATTGTGAGCTTTCGGCTGTACAATAAATAGAGCTTATAAATTAAAATATTATATTTATAAGAAATTAGAATTTGAGACAATATTGCCTTATATGATTGTACAGATAAGGATAATTAAAACATAATATTTTTTTTGCAAACGTCTCCATAACTTTATTATGAAAATCTTGCAACTTTGCATTAACAAGTTTCCTGTGCACACTCATCATGGATTGACCATTGAGGCAATTGTCACCCATTGTGCTTTTTAACTAGGTTTTCAGTCTCCTGAGGCTGCTAGATGCTAGACGACGCTCTATCGTACATGTTGTGCATGCTAGAGCGATAAAAATTTTCAACGCCTTTTCTGCTTCGGGAAATAAGGTTTTTGCATCTTTTATGGCATCAACGACGGTTAGATTATAGTTTGGATTATTATGTCAGACTTTCTGACATAGTTCGACTATCGACTTCAATATTTATGTTCGTTAAATTAGAAAATTTGGCGATATTTTCGCAAGTTTCTTGAAGGTTGTCGAATGACATTATTTACATTTGCACCGGGTATATCTTGGTCAATTAAAATGCTGGGGTGTTCTCAATTCCCTCCCCCTGAGGTGGTCGAGTAAAAAGAGGTTATTTTCAAAACCTGTACGGCTTCCCATAGCTATTTATCTTTTAGGGTCCTATGCGTAATATTTTACGATTTGGTTTAGAGCAGGTCTGCTTTAAGTTCATTTTTTTTTCTCAAAGTGCAGTATAGAACTGGAACAACTTGTATAATGTTACCATGAGAATGCTGATTTACTCATTTATATTTCAAAATTAATTGATCGCAATGACGGCATATTTAAAACCGAACGGGCGGAATACTGGAATGGAAATGGTGATTTTGTTCGAGTTCCGACGTACGGGAATGATCGGTCACGCAAGTTAAGAGAGTACTTTTGTTGATTTACATTTGACTACATTTTTCTCTTTGGAGAGGCAGGTACATTCTCTCCCTCCAGGTGCCGCTCTTGTGCAGAAACATTTCATTGAAACATATTTGATGTTTTACCTCTCAGTAGGACATTAAGAGTTCCAGAAACGTTCGCACAATGTTACCGAAACTTAACCAATCCCGCAGGGGGGGGGGGGGTTGGAGTAAAGAGGGTAATTACCTCCCAGATGACTCGAGCAGTCTTTGAAAAGGTGGTATACAGTAGTAAACGTCTTATAAAAAAATCTGTAACTTTAAGAAAGGATAGCGGCAACACCCGCTCAGTGCGCATGCGACTAGCGATTACTCTCCTACCAACAGCGGGTGGGCTTCTTCCTGTTGGAACAGGTATAGTCTAGTCTTTTACGGTTTAGTCTAGTGTCTAAATTCTGTACCAGTCCGAAGTCCGCAACAAAATTTGGCTGAGAAGTGAACAAGCGGAGTTTTGTTGGTCTGGTTGGTATTAATGCTTTTTTCTACGTATATGTTCTGTTGATTTTTTATTTTCCACGCATAAGCCAGAAAATTAATTTTGTTTGTTTTTAATTCTTATACTGTAAAAGAATCGTGTCTAAAAAAATTACAGACGGAAAATGGAAATTTAATATAATTTCAATTACGAAGTGTTTGGTCCATACTCCAGTTATCATTATCATCTATGTCTATTTTGTTTTGGAAGTCACTGTATATAAGCACTTCAGTCCATTTCGTTCGTCCGAGATGGCAGATTATATATTTAGTTTTTGAAAATTGCGTGAACTTAAGAAATCTTGTTTTCCAAACAGAAAAGGTTCTTTGTTATGAGATACGTGAATGCGTGGAAACCAATAACTCCGTTTATTTGACAATATTTGTGCTGATTGACGGCTGCTGTTGTCAGGATGAGTAAAATGAAACAGAATACCATCAATTGGTTCCTTTCTAAACAATCCACCGGCACAAGAATTTCCGGAAAAAAACTGATGATAATCCTACAATAATTCAACCTGAGCCTTCCACTTTCTTGATGTTGCACCTTATTGAGGTGTGCAATGATCCCTGATGACTCTTTCAAATATCCCTATTCCACACACTTGAAAAATAATAAAAAAGTGAGATGTTACTAAAAAACACTTTGAGAAATTTCCTTGGCTGTCATATTCAGAGAAACTACGAGGGCTTTTCTGTAAATATTGCGTGATTTTTGCAAAATTAGGAGGAGTAAATAAATCAACTAAATTGGGAAAACTTGTTACCGCACCACTAAAGAATTTTTCGAAATTGTATGGCAAAACCGGTGATTGTGAGACACATGAGAACTCAATATATCATACAGAAGTAGTTCCAGAAGCTGCAAACTTTTTAAAGATTTACGAAAATCCAGAGAATGATGCAAGAAATATAATAGGTTCAGAGCGAATTAAGCAAGTATCAGAAAATCGGCAAAGATTGCTCCTATAATAGAATCTATATTTATTTTAGGACGCCAAAATATACCACTTAGAGG